AATAATGTTCTTTTTAGCAACATCATATGACCCCTTTAAATAACTATTTCCTTTTTTATCAGAAAATGTTTCAATTTAAAAACTTAAGTTCAGTTGCTGCCTTAAATTTTTTTAAAGTATAATCAGCTTGGTTGAAAACTTACATTTAAACTTAAATTATACCAGACTGACTTATATGTATAAATTTAATTTAGCTGAAGTTAAATTTAATTGAATTCAAGTTAAATGAACTGTAATTCTAGCAGTAGCTTGAGTCTGTTATATATTTATATTTTATACATTTGCATTACAAAATTAATTTGTAAAATCAAATTTAACTGTAAAGTGTTTTTTGCAATATGCATTGTTAAAAGCTTTGCAGAAAGTCACACACACACATAAAATTATGTATTATATACTGTATATAATATATATTATATATAAGATTAAGCAACATATTATGTATAACATGTAAGACATATCATAATTCAGATTAAATTAACTATTTCCTTAATATTAGCAGTGGTATGAGTATATATATTTATATAAATACTGTATATATATATATACATTTATTAGGAAATATACTAAAAGTGTTCAAAATGAATACAAACATTTGAATAGTTTACAATACAGTGAATTCAGATATCAGTCACGATTTTCCCCTTAAATATCAAGAGAATTTGTCATGTTTTGCTTTTGTTGTATTAATAAATAATGTATCATATATTTTATTTAATGTTTATTTATTAATTTAAATTCAATTAAATTTCTATAGATTCTATTATTATTTTATAGGCGAAGGAAGGAAGGAAGGAAGGAAGGAAAGTTTCATTTTAACTTTAACTTTAAGCTTTTTTTTAAGGCTCAACTGAACTTGTTTAAACATACAAAAAAATCTTGACGTGGGATAGTGCCATGGAGCACACACTTCCAAACTCAGCTAAAGGAAAACAGGGTCTGATGGAATCGACAAACCTAAAACAAAGCATGCAGGATGTCAGATGATCACATAGTGAGAAAACAGATTGCATCAGGCTGAATTTTCACAAAAGAAAAGTCTGTTGCCGTTTTGGAATACTTTCCGGTAATGCAGCTGAATGGATCTCAGGCATTTTCCTTCCCTTTTTCACTCTTGAGGCTTTGGACCAGTAGACATACTGAAACAATCATCAGTTCCTATAGTCTCAGGGAGAGCCACTGGGGCCAAAGACGTGCCACAAATTCTCTAGAGAGTGCAGTGACTGTGTCCAAATGGATCACTGCAAAAATAAATAAATAATAATAATAATAAAAATTAATAAAAATAAAAGTAAAAATAAAACAAATTAAAGGTTTTTCCAGTATGCAAAAAATGTTTATTTTCTGAAAATACGTTGTGTCATAATTTAATTTAGACTTATTTTACAATCTTCAATACATCTTGGATGACCCGAGGATGAGTAAATTTCCAGCAAATTTTCATTTTTGGGTGAAATATTCCTTTGAAAACAGCTACTATTTTGTAGTAAATCAACAATTCTTCTATTTAATGCACTTAATAATGAGTTTTTGCATATAATTATTATAAACTCGTGAAAAATTCAGATCTATTTAATATCTCTCCTAAGAACCCCGGTAATCTCACATGAATTCGCCGTAGATATCTCAACAGTGTCTCAGACGGTGAGCAGTAAAAGACCCTCTGCGTATTCAAAAGCCAATGAATCTTAAAACTGCCTTTTTATGTGCTCATTCAAAACTTCCTTGATTCGTAATTATAATCTTCCTGAACTCAGACTCGAAAATAGCATCAAGAAAAAAAAAGGTTCTTCAAGAGGAGAAAGCGACTCGCTGCTGAAATCGAACTCACCTCCCTCATCTCCTATTCTTTCTCTGCTTCTCTTCCTGTGCTTCTCCCTGTGTGACGCTTAATTGCATAACTGTGTGTAGGCTGCTCGGGGCTTTATGTAAGGAGGCCTACGCTGCAATCGGACATCATCTGTCTCTCCTCGGGTGTTATCTGGTTAGGGTTTGCGGTACGGAGGTTACTGACCCATCAGTTTTGTGTGCTGATGGCACTCACTCTCAGATTCTCTTGCAGTGGGTTAGTGCTTGCGTTTGTGGGTGGTAAAGTCATCCGGGCCGGTGATGTGATGTTTATGTAATAAACCCTCTCCATAAACCTCAGATGGGTGTTAGAGGTCTACAACGTACACATGGAATAAACAAAGCAGGACTGAGATATAATAGCTGGCATTGTGCTGCTGAATGGAGCGTCTGGTTTATTCGGACACCGTTGAACCGCTTTCCTCACAATTTCCAGTCAAGGCTGCATCTAGCCAGAGGAGAATGTGATTTATTGTACACTCTTAAAAATAAAGGTGCTTAAAGGTTCTTCACAGCGATGCCATAGAAGAACCATTTTTGGTTCCACAAAGAACCATTCAGTCGAAGGTTCTTTAAGGAACCATCTCTTTCTTACCTTTTTATAATCTGAAGAACCTTCTTTCGCCACAAAGAACCTTTTGTGAA